TAGATAGATTTGATTGATAGATGGTAGATGATAGATTGATTGATTGATAGATAGATAGATAGATAGATAGATTTGATTGATAGATAGATAGATAGATTTGATTGATAGATGGTAGATGATAGATTGATTGATTGATAGATAGATAGATAGATAGATTGATAGATAGATAGATAGATTTGATTGATAGATAGATAGATAGATTTGATTGATAGATGGTAGATGATAGATGGATGACACAGATTAGATTAGATAGATTGACAGACAGACAGAGCTAGCACTGAGACTTCTAATCATGGGGGAAACACTTGCTGGACCTCTACAAGATCTGCCAGGTTAACCTTCCTTGTTTCTCCCACTGTAGCTATGACCACTCCTGGCGTTTGTGGGACCTCGAGGCCCAGGAGGAGATTCTCCACCAGGAAGGGCACAGCAAAGGGGTCTACGACATCGCCTTCCATGGCGATGGCTCCTTAGCCGGCACCGGGTAAGCCCTCGACCTCTGCGCCAAGGCCTTGGCTGGCCGAATGGGATCCCAGGCCAAGCACTGAGGCTTTCCTAAGGCCAGCCTCCACTTGGGACCCTCCTGCGGGGCCTCCTTGCTTTACGGCCTCCATCAAGGCCAGCATTTCCATCGCTAAGCCAGGCGGTTCTTAAGTGAGCCGTGCCTTCATTCTATGACCTCTTTGCCCTGGTGGTTACGCAAATCGCTGCAGTCGTTAAGTTAGCCGTGCTGTCGCTGAGTGAATCTCACCTCCTCTCCTCCCCCCCCATTGACTTGGCTTATTGGCTATCTCCTGGGAAGGTCCGAATTTTGATCAGGTAACCATAGGGATCCCGCGACGGTCATAAGTGTGAACAACGCTCATGAGTCACTTTTTTTCAGTGCTGTTATAACTTCAGCAGACATACTGCTGTAAGTTGAGAACTACGTTTTATTTATCGGACATATTTTGTTTTGTTTTCTTCCAGTGGTCTGGATGCGTTTGGCCGCGTCTGGGACTTGCGCACCGGAAGGTGCATTATGTTCTTGGAAGGTCATCTCAAAGAGATCTACGGGGTCAGCTTTTCCCCGAACGGGTAAGAGCCACACTGAAGTTTCCAAAAGACGACCTAATTAATTTACGAGCCTCGAGACAAAGTTCAAAAGAAACCCAGTCATTGATTAGGAGCAACGTTTTGGCAAGTTCTTCTGCGGAGCCGAAACTGACTTCCGCTTAATGGTCTTTGCACTTTACCCCAAACTCTCCCCTCCCTCAGTCTGTGTCATAAATCATATCCACCAACGAGGTTGTAGAAATATGAGATCCGGCTCTGGACGAAGGTATGCATGGAATCCTCCCTCCCAATGTCAACTTGATAATAGTTGCCGCGGCTCATGTGTCCTTAATGTTGATTCATTCACCTTCCCATGCTGGCCCTGTGGTCAGAGTGCAGTACTGCAGGCTACTTCTGTTGACTGCCGGCTGCCTGCAATTGGGCAATTCGAATGAGTATTGCAGGCTCATTCTGTCCACTGCCAGGAGTTCAATGCTGATCAGCTCAAGGTTGGCTCAGCCTTCCGTCCTTCCGAGGTGGGTCAAATGAGGACCCAGATTGTTGGGCGCAAAAGGCTGACTCTATAAACTGCTTAGAGAGGGCTGTAAAAGCACCGAAAAGTGGTATATAAGTCTAAGGGCTACCGCTATTTCTACCCCCCCCCCCTCTGCTAAGTGTAAGCCCCAGCTTCATTCTTCCTCTTCCTCCTCCCATTCATAGGTACCACATCGCCACTGGCAGTGGAGACAACACCTGTAAAGTTTGGGACCTTCGCCAAAGGAGGTGCATTTACACCATCCCCGCCCATCAGAACCTGATCACCGGAGTGAAATTCGAACGTGAGCCTTTCTGCCTCAAATCTGGACTCTGAAAACCCAAGCTTTGACTTTGGGGAACCGCCAAGAGCCTCGCAGTTGGGGCTCAGATTTGAGGGCAAGGGGGCAGCTTCCCTTGTTCTTCAAAGCCAACTTAGCTTGCCCGCAGGGGCGCCTCCCAGCGAAGCAGCCTCACATCAAACTGGGTTAAGATTTGGCAAGTGAAGCCCTTGGAAATGTAGGTGAAGCTTCAGGTTGGAAAACGAAAGCACCTCCCAAATTTCGGACTGGAAACAAGGAGGTTGTGAGTTCTAGTCCCACTTTAGCCATGAAAGCCAGCTGGGTGACTTTGTGCCAGTCACCAGGAGACAGTGAGTTCTAGTCCCACTTTGACCATGAAAACCAGCTGGGTGACTTTGTGCCAGTCACCAGGAGACAGTGAGTTCTAGTCCCACTTTGACCATGAAAGCCAGCTGGGTGACTTTGTGCCAGTCACCAGGAGACAGTGAGTTCTAGTCCCACTATGGCATGAAAGCCAGCTGGGTGACTTTGTGCCAGTCACCAGGAGACAGTGAGTTCTAGTCCCACTATGGCATGAAAGCCAGC